CGTACCGCTTGTTTTGTCCGTTTTGCCTCGTCCATTGCTGACGGCGCATATCCCGCCGGCGCAAATCATGCCAGCGCATCCGCCTATCAGCGCCACGTCGGAGGCGTACATCCGGCCGGCGCTTTTCTTCCGTTGCGCAGCCGCCAAAGGCGCTTCCGACTCTGAGTTGATTTCCTCCCATGAGCGCGTGATTCAGGCGCATCGCCGAAGGCGTACGGGAGTCCTTTCCGACTGTGAACCCTAGCGCAAACGGCGCATGTCCGGCTACGAGTTTCCGATGCTCATAACTTCTTCGTCCCTGATCCATCTCCAACGCTCTTGGGCTCGTTAGGACGAGCGTCCCGAGCTCTTTTCAATGCGACTTCAACCAATTGGAACTACCGTGTATTCCGATCGTTAGGAAGGTTTCCCTTTCCGCGCTAGCGGCGCATCGCCGAAGGCGCACTCATGGTCGGAAGCCTTCAGAGGTCCGTGCCATTCTTCTGACGTCTTTAGCAAAATCTCCTCCGGAGGTGTCTGTGCCGGCAGCGTAGCTTCCTTAAACGCTGGAAGCGCGTGAGTAGAGACACCTCAGAAAAGGAGCTTTTCCAAAGGCGCCAAAGACATTGGCGCTGGTACATCCGACTTCGCGATTCTTCGTGACCTCGTGACGATCTCCTCAATCCACTCTATTTAACGTACCCTTTTCTAACTACAAACACTGCTTCGGTACTAGTTTTCTAAAATTGTTTAAATTCTGCAAAAAAAACAAAAAGTGTGTTACCACACTTCGCCTTGCGCAAACCATGTCCGCTCCGAAGACAGAGAAATCGGACTTACCAATTTTGTTCACTCCTTCAAAGGTTCTGCCGGTATATCTGCCGGAACTTCGATTGACACCTCCGAAAGTACCCCTAACTCCACAGGTCGCATTACCTCGCTAGTTGCGACTTCGGATGTGTTTACAATTGGTGCCACCGTCTTCTCCACACTGCTATCTGACACCTCAACTGTTACAATCCTCCGTTTCGCCCTCTTCTTTGGTTTGTGTGAGCTTTGTGCTCTCTGGCTCCACTTTCATCCATATCCATCCTTCTTACCACGTGGGCCAAATCCTCCTCATCATCACTTACGACCTTCCTTCTCTTTGACACTCGTCTCTCTGGCTGCTCCTGCCTTTGCCCCACGTCCACCTGCACTGGTTCTCAAGCGGTGGTGTGTGTTGGAACTGCGGGAGATCGGTTCTCGTCTTCAGTCCCTTCACTGGACTCCACTGTAAAGCTCTCCCGCTCCCTTGGAAATTGCTTCTCCTCCTCCCTCGTAAGCAATCCCATTACTCAATAGAAATCCACCAGAAAGGGGGTAAGATGATTGGTCATAGATCCCGTCCATCGACCAGACGCATTCACCCAGACAAGATCGTGAAAGATCCTTGCCCAATGTACGCGCTGTCCCTTCAAAATGCGTTCGAAGAATCCCACTTGCCAGGCCGTCACATAAGTCGTGCGCGCCGGCCGTAAGATGTGCATGATCCCTAACGCAATCGCCCTTCTCTTCGGATCCTTATAATCGACAGTCTTCCATCCATTTGTTCCCTGTCTTCCAGTCTCGAAGAGAGGCCCGTAAGAGAATTCCTCGCCGCGCGTAAATCCTACGCTATTCTTGTCAAACAGAAGGTCTCCGTCGCTACCCGCACACGGCCCCATTACTTTGGTCCAATGCTCGATGGTCCACAGCATGGAATTACCGCGGAGCTCCTCGCCTTCGGTCGCGCTATTGTCCAGAACTTCCTTGTAGATACTCGCTGAGACGCAATTCCAATTCCACAGAAGGAATTCAAGCCGCAGTTCCCTCAATTCGTGTCTAAAGGGTCTCAATTCCTCATACGGCACCTTCAAGGGAACCAATTTCCTCACCTTCTCACTCTTCTTGGGCGCCATGTATTCAATTTGCAATTCGCTAATCGCGGGTTGGCTTGATTGCAATTCCTCTCGATCGTTCTTGCTTGATATCGCAATGTCGGCGCGCAGTCTCCTCCTACTGCCTTTACCCTTGAAGCCCTAACATTGCCTTCTCCTGCTCCTCGTAGAACTCCCGACGCGTGCGAAACTCATCCGGCCCGTTGCATGATTTGAAATTGATTCCGATGTCTTCGCCGAAGACGCAGCTCTTCGTGCGTCCTAAAAAGACTGTGCCGAAGACACGAAGATCCGAAGATCTTCGGACGTAGACGAATTCTAACTAATCCTATCATAACTCCTATAAATCTACTGTTTCCAACTCATATACCTATCTTCTACACACATATGTTTATGTTTTTGTTAATTTATAAAGAAAAACAAAAAAGTAGGCCCCACAAGCTAGCAGAGACATCTGAGCCAACCTATTGCAAGCTATCCCACGCTCAAAGGCTCAACTAGAAGAACTGACAGATCTTCAAGTACGCACGACTATACTCTCTGACTTGAGTAAAACTAACGTAGTCTCTACCTAGTGTTAGCTCAACTAGAGTAAAACCTCATCCGATGCTAATTATAAACAACACGTAGACACATGACAGATTTATGAAATAACGCCAAATGCTTGTTAGGTTACATTGACTAAATATAATGAACAAAAAAATTCTATAATCAAATGTGTGTCTACATTTGATGATGTATGCATTATTTGTATGTCTATCTTACCAAAATGCATAACTTACTTTTAAAAATGAATGTGGAATTCATAACATCATAAGTATTTTAAGTTGAATAGACTTATCGATAAAATGAAATCAGAATAGTATTGTTTTACATCTTCATTATGATAATTATGAATTAGCAAGATGAAGCACATAAAAACTAAATAATAATTCATAAAAATTCAATTTATATTAATTTTAAAAGTTATGAAATTATTATTCTTAAAAGTTTGATGAAAATTTCAATCCAGCCAATTCATTTATCAAAGTTGTTTCTTTGAAGAGTTTTGAAAGATATTATATTACTTTTCAAGTTTTTGCACTAGGTTTGACATTGTAATTTTACTAAAAATTTTGCTATATATATATATATATATATATATATGATTTTCAAAAACAATATTTTGACTACGACTTGAATTTATTTGGTTCTAGTTTTTTAGAGAAACCTATACAAATTTCATTTATACAATATACATGTATCCCGAAAAATGACTATATTGATTGGGGAGATAACAGATTTCTCAACTTGAATCAAGGGAATTAAGTGAATTAAGGTCTTGGTTAATTTTGATTATCTTTATTTCAATTTGTCAAGCTATTTAGTTTATCACCCTATAAGAATTAACTAAAACTCTCAAATACACAAATTAAGATTTTTTGGATGAAGCTTGTTTTGTTCTCGTGAACTTAACTCCACACGATCTAAATTGTGTTTGGTACTTTTGTCATCTGGACTGTGTGTGTGGACTGAGTAGATTTTGTGTTTGAAAATTCCCACAACATGTAAATTTTCATGGTGTCTTTCACATTGTCAAAAGTGATCTGTATAAAAGTAAGAAGTTGTAGATAGAATGTATAAATAGAAGTAAAATTAGTTGTAAACTTCTTCTTTGGTTTTACAATTTTTTTCTTGTTGAATCTCAAGCATAGAAATGCTAGAAAGATAACCGTAAGAAACTTGGACAATACTCCAAGGTTTGAGTGTGAGATGTCTCATGAAAATAATTTCATGAAGTATCTCACATATTCTTGACTTCTAAAATTATCAATAAACTTTTTAATTTATTTGCATTTGTTGTTCAGAAACTGTTGTTTGAATTTGTTGACTTGACAAATTGATAACATTGGCTTCATCCAGTCTTTTCTGACCACAAATGTCCAAAATATGCGAAAATGCATATTTACATCAATTTTTATCTTGTTATGTTGATTTCCTCCACAATGTTAGGAAAAAACTCTAATCCTTTGACTTTTGGTCAAATGGAATGGCCTGACACACAGTGTTATATTGTGGAGTGAATAGAAAATTAATGGTATCCATTATTCATTTCTGTAATGAGTTTTTGATCATATGAATTTTCTGTCCATTTATTCCTTTCTTTTCTCTTATATTGAATGCTATGTGAAGATCGTAGCCATTTAAATATATCTGCGTAGTAATCTTCACCTAAAAGCTGTCCCTGGTTTACACTCTTCCATTGGTTCTTATTTTTCTCTGTGCAGTAGGAGAATACCTGCTTGAACGAACCCATGACTAGAGGGCAAATTTTCTTTCCGAACGCGGGTTCTATGTGTCCATGTATAGCTTCTTGTACAGGGGTTTGGGATTCCGCAGTCCCGGAAGCGTTCTTCCGTGCTTTGATTTCAGTTTATCATGAATTGTAATATGTAAGTTTTTACAACATTGCATTCAAGATACCAAGTTGGCGGTTCTAGCCAATCAGATCAAGACATCAAGCTGGCGGTTCTAGCCAATAGGATTACGCGACGTCCCTCGAATTTCCCTGCACAATTCTGGGCAAATGAAATCCCTACCTACTCCAAGCAAGAAACAACGCCTCTTGTTCGCACAATCTCTTAGAAATTATACACGGTCCAAGTGGAAAATACAAACAAAGGCCCGTAGATGCTTTCGTAGATTGATCATAATCCTTAGCACAAATTATAATTCGAGCAGCACTACTAAGAGCTTCATCATGACAATTTGTCTGGTGATAATATCTTGAAACCTCATTATCCACCAGATTTAGTTACAATCAGAATTCTCGTGCCAGTAAACTATTTCTTACTCTACTACCAACTACCAGCGCATTTCTATTACGTGTTGTTAGTACTAAATCTGTCTTCTGCAAAATGACATGAATTGCATATTTAAAAAAGAAATCTAACTATTTGCAAATCTATTATACCACTACTAGATTTGTTAAGATCTCAAAAACATAGAAATATATTATAATATTCAAATGCTGTAATAAGTATACGGAAAAGAAAAGAGAACACGCATTTAGCATTTTATTTTTCAACATCAAGTTTAAAATTTTTATGATGAAATAGATCGTCTATATCGTTCTGAATGTAGCACAATAACAGTTCATGCATTGAAAGTGGTCACAACATTAAACGAAATACTTACTAGAGTTCAACTCCTCATTCTCCCGGATCCTTGGACCTACCGTCACTATCTAGTCTCTATTATCAGATCTCCTCATGGTACTTTGATAATTGACCTATGCCCCATCAACAATCAGGACCTAGTATGATCACTGCAATTTCTCACATGCATCACGTATGAAACCCACTTCTCTGTTCCTAGATTCAGATAAGAGTACATGTAAAGATGAAGATTCCTTTGACATCGACAGTAATTCGTTAGAAAGATAAACCACTCTCTCCTTAAGTGTAGAGATCGACTCCTTGCATTTACGAATCTCCTCACGCAGACCTGAATTTTCCTCCTTGATGTTCAGGTTTTCGGAAAATAGGCGAGAATTCATCTCCTTGAGTTCCACCAAAGAACAGGACTTTGCTGGATGCTGCTCCTCTCCTACTAGATGTGCTCTTGGATGTTCCGACTTCGATTCGATGGGTACTCCATCTGGTACCAAATTCATATCAGGTATCTGTCCATGTATAAAGGTATCAGCACCTTGCTCATTTCCTTGGATAGAAGAATCTCCAACTAGATGTGCCCTTGGATTTGCCGACTTCGATTCGATGGGTACTCCATCTGGTACCAAATTCATATCAGGTATCTGTTCATGTATAAAAGTAGTAGCAGCTCGATCACTTCCTTCGACAAAAGGATTTCGATTGTTGGCAACTTCGAAGATGTCCTTTGCTGTGTATGGAACCCTCTCATTATGTTTCTCCATTTCTTGAATCTGTACTTCGTCACCATTTCGAGGCACGTATTCCTTGTGTTTGGCTTGAGTTTCGCTGGCTTCAGTTCCTGGTAACGCATGTAGCATACAGTCTCTCCTGCTGCAGATTTGTTCAACACTTGTCCACAGAGTCAGCACATCACCTTCAGTTCCCCTCGGAGTGCTAGAACAATGTTCTGCCAGTCGTCTCGAAGTCTGCTGACCCACCATTGACCCATCAGATCTTGTTTGTCCCTCGGCCGTTGAATCCTCTCCTTCTGTTCGAGTTGGCACCCTACACTGTCTCATCTCGAACTCTCTCATGCCAATCCCATCACTTGTATGTTTTCCTTGAGTTGGTGGTCTGTCGGAAGGGATGCTGATACATTTACTCTTTCTCTTGTTGAGTAAATTCCTGGAACTCACGTTTGATCCAAGATTGGTGGAAACTTCATGATCAGCAACAAGAATCTCATCAGATGGTGGCTCATTCAGTGTATTGTCATCCCAGAACGCTGGAAGCTCCATCAAGGTATCGACTGTACTAACAGAAACTTCAAATCTACTGGTCATGGAGAGATCTAGACTATTGACTTTGTTCGTGACATTTGTGCCAGGACCAGATGAGCAAATCGAACTGCAAGGTGATGCTACAGTGTTACTATCAGTTCTAAGGTCCCTAGTCATAGTGCAGCCACCAGATGGGATCCATTGGTTGAGTCCATTACTTGTAGTAATGGTCGGAGAATCAGTCACTAAGTTTATTGATCTGGGTGAAAGGGCAACTCCTGCCGCCTCAGATGAATCATTGAATAAATACATGGTGGCTCCAGATTTCACCCTTCCCGGATACTGTAGTTCATGTCGCTCAAAAGATACATCTCCCTCAGTGGTTGGGACATCTTCTTTCCAAGAAATATTATCTGATGTACATGGAGTGATATCCTTTTCAAGTGAGGAACATCTTTCATCATGTATGCGTCCCTGTTTCAAACTCTTCCGTCTAATCTCCTCAATATCAATAAGGACGAAATTGAGATCTCTTAGAAAGGGCTTTCCATCATCATGGCTATCAGCAATATGAGAACCATGTTGTACATTAGTACTTTCTGTCCCCGTCAAACCTGAATAGTCTAGTCCCAGACTGGTTATTAGACTGTTAGACAGTCTCGAATCTTCGCCTCCTTCCTCCACGTTAGATACAGTGACAAGATCAACGGCCGGCTGCTTGGCGATCTCCACCACTTTTGGACCATGATCATATGCTGCCTTGATTTGGGAAATATTCCTAATCCGGCGATCACTACCTCTTGTTTTCAGAAACCTCCTATGCATCCGGGGGAGAAGCTTAGTTTCGTCATGAACAAATAGTTTCCTGCGATGTCTATATGATAAGTTTCGCGCAAGTGATATCAGACGCCGATGTGGGTATGTCACTTCTACTTCATCAGCCTTGTCCCTGGCTCCTAAGAGACTTCTTGTCTCCATCTTTTCGCTCCAAATCTTGAGATGTAAATCTGGGTCTGTATCGTTAAGTGCATTCACTGCCTTGGTTTGAGTTTGAGAATTCACCGTGTATCTGGCAGCCACATTCAGCACTTCCTCACAGCGAAGTGTGTCATCTTCTCTTCTATTCCCTGAAATTGTCTTCACAAAATCTTCAGAAGGAGGTGTATCATGCGCAGTCTCCTCTATCGCTGTAAGTACCAAGTCTTGATAAGACAATGTCTCAAATTGTTCCGTCTCTCTTACATCAGTTGTGTCAACTAGCATTGGAGTCCATGTAGCACAATTCCATTCACTGTAGGATGTCGAAACTGGAACTTCATCTGGTGCTTTCTGAGTGTGGAGTGTTCCATAAATCATCAAATGTGGATCGAATCTTCCAACACTCTCCGTTAGTTCTAGCGCAACACCATCAACCCTCTGAACCATTACTTTCTCCACTTCATTCCCACCTTCCATGCCTACAATACTCATGAACAACTGTTTGATCAAGACCACGTTTGGAGTGTATGAACTCTTGCTACTCTTGGTAGAATGTTGGCATCGAGATCCACCAATCAAGCATCTTCACATTTATCACACCACAAGAATAAGTACAACGTTTTCTATCGCTACATACATTCAAAAAGGAGTGTAGAGAATGATAACCACAACGTGTTCGTCCAAGTCCGCGCTAGAAGCACGTTCTATCTTGAATTCAGACGGAAGGGCGCGGTACCAGATACAAAATTAAATTCAAAATTGCTGGTGACGGTTGACAATGCGCGTGTAATTTGCCGCGGAAGAGTTGAAAATTTGCTACTTTCGAGTACAAATTGATGCAAAATTTCTCATATTCCAAATTTTAATATTGAAAAATAAGTACAAATTTATTGACATATATAATTTCGCCAAATACAATCATCAAATTTCAAATCTTAATGATTAACAAATTAAACAAATTAAATTTTCAATTGAGTTTCAAATTACATGTTAAATGAATTAGCAATCAAGATTGTTATCAATTAGCAAATTTCACACAAATCAGGAATTTTTTTATTAAAATTTCACAAGTATTCAATTACAATCACATATTTATAAATTTAATTCCCGAAATTATCAAATATCAGTTGTTCATGAGTTTCAATATCAAAATGTTGAATATCAAAATCTCTTCAAAGTTTGAAGAGATTTTGACAAAAATATCATAATTTCATGCAATTTATGCTTCTTAAAACACTAATCACATTATCTATCTAATGTAATTCCAAAATGATCAATTCTTTTAGATCAATTATCAAAAATTAAGCCATTCAAATTGTAATCTGTTTAAAATATTCCATTCAATGTTATTGATTTTCTGCTACATTGATTGATGTTAAAGAAGTCTCAACACAACAAAATCTTTAATAAAAAATAATAATAACTTTGAGAGTGCTTGACCTATGGTTGCTACCATCAAATATCTCAAACTAAAATGAAAATTCACACATAATTTGATAATTGCAATAATAGTAACAATAATTGCTCGCCATAATTGATATACTTTTACAACACTCTATACCAAATTGATCAATCAACATAATCAATCATGATCTTTTGATTTAAATGATATGTTTGATATACGACAACTTGAATCCAATATGCAATTTCACTCTCCAATTGTCTTTCATATCAATAAAAGATTCACAAGAACTAGAAAGTAATTTCTCAACGTAGAAAGCACAACATAAAAAACAAGTTCAAAATACAAGTTGTGTGGTTCACATTGGGATTAACTTATAATTTGAGTTAAATTGCTATTTTTAGTATTTTCTAGTTGGTTGGCACTTGGTATTTAAACTCCCATTTGATCTTCAACTCCCCGCTGCACATTATATTGAAGTGACTTTATCTTCATGTGAGCGTAGCTCCTTGAATGAACCGCGTACTTGTTGCGCGTCTGTGTCTTCTCATGGAATTCCTGTGTTTACTGGCTGAATGACTAGATAGAACGAGAACGCGGGCGCAGCAGAAGTGTGTGATTTTTGCAATGATTTGTTAGATTTGATTTGTCAACCAATTCAAAATCTACACAATTGTAAGATTCAAAAGTACAACGAATTCGTCGATCTTATCAACAAATTTGTGTGTGATTTTTGCAATGATTTGTTAGATTTGATTTGTCAACCAATTCAAAATCTACACAATTGTACGATTCAAAAGTACAACGAATTCGTCGATCTGATCAACAAATTTGTCAATCAGAAACCAGATGATTGATCAAAGTCATACGATTGTAGACGTTAGCATGTAGCGAGGAAGTCTGAGCACGCATGACAAATTTGGAGCTCTAAAGGTCGGAAAGTTGGAAGTTGAAGGCAGGCGGACAGGAGTATCTAGACGTGTGCAAGCTTTTTTGTTCAAAAAAACTCAAAACCATGCAAAGGAGTTCGGACGGATTGAGGCGGTTGACATATCGAGGCGGTGACAAGTTTATTCTATTGACAAATTCGTCGATCTGATCAAAAAAATTGTCAATAAGAATAGGTATGTTGCAGGCGCAAGCTTGTAGCAAAGAATTCCACGTGCAAATCCGACAAGATATTTAACGAACTAGAGGCAGGGGATAGTAAGCGTAGCTAGTAGGCATGAGCCATAATGTCAAGTTTGATAGATAAATTTGTCAATGTCTCATGAGTTTAGATAGATTTTTTGACCGCCAAAATTTAATTCGGATCAAATTCAAATGCATGCGAATTTAGATGATAGAAGCGCAGACGGACTAGATGCAAGGTGAGGCGAAGGCAGCACGCAGACAAGACGGATGCATCTCGCAGGCGCGAGAAAGCGAGCGAACTGTGCAACGCACTGCACCGCGCGCAAGTGATTGCGGGGAATTTGATGTTGTGGTTACACATGTAGCCTTTTGCGCGACAACACATCACTATGACACATCAAGACATCATCCTCGCGAGGTGACACGTCATTAACGTGCGCCACGTCGACCTCGCACATACACGTAAATCCGCCTTAACAGCACACGTGGCGGCCACGCGGCACAAGTAGTACAATCGGCGTGGGTAGTGTCAATGTAAAACACGTAAGTGATAGTAAACACTCAAGATGTAACATGGTTCATTCTCAGGGAAGAGGGCTACGTCCACCAAGAACACGAGCATCTTTACTCCAGGTTTTGTTAGAAAGACTACTATGTACAAGGTGAACCCCGAGGTATTTATCCCAAGTCAAGACGACCATCCTAGCTATAAATAGCTTGGATCCGAGGTTACTACTTAACTGGAGTTAACATCAAGAATCTCCTTCTTAACTCACGTTAAGGAACAGTAATCTCTATAACATACATTAGTACTCCGCAGGAAAATCTAGACAGAATTCTAACATAATGTCCCCTCTTTACACAAGAATTAGCTAGAACTAAGCCGTAACCATAACACGATAGAGTAATAACATAAAGAGGTAACTAAAAACCAGCTAGCATAGAGAGAACAACAAAAATATCCTAACCTATATAATTACTGCGCGGGAAGTTCTAGAAAGAAATCTAATACAAGACCACTCTTTACACGAGAGTTAAATAGAATTAAGCCGTAGCCATCACATGATAGAGTAAATATATGAAAAGATAACTCAAGATACTATGTTAGCAAACTTTACATGTGCTTCCTATGCACAAACTGCATGATAGCACAATGTCGCCTAGAACTCTCTATAGAAATAACTTTGACCAACACATCAGTTGGATTGAATTTATGATCTATCTTGACTAGCTCAATCATCAAAGTTTACCGTCAAGTTTGACTAGCTCAATCATCATAGTTTACCGTCAATATGGACTAACTCAATTATTAGAGTCTATTGTCAATCTTGACTAGCTCAATCATTAGAGTTTACCGTCAAGATTGACTAGGTCAATCACCAAATTCTATGATCCATCTTGACTAAATTAATCATTTTATCATACACTCTTGTTTGATAAAATACTTGATATCGTTGTACTTCACGGTACTATAACTAACTTGTACCGTGCACATCTTGATCATCAATCATATAATGATCAAAATTTTCCACAACTACATATCGGTGCTCATCTTGATCAATAATCACATAATGATCAAAACTCCCCCAAAACTACATATGTGAATGAAAATTTTCACATGTCAGCACAAAAATCTTGAGAATTCTCCCTCCTCTTTCAAGGAACAGGGTTCATTGAAAGACACACACCCACTTACATGAACCTTACAATCTATGTTGTTCGTAACTAACTATCACCTATGACTATCTTTCACCATCATCCACGACTAACTGCACTTGCGACTGACCATCATCGTCGTCCACGACTTACCGTGTCCGCAACTAAGTGTCGCCCGCGACTTATCAAAAACGTTGTCCACAACTTATCATCTGTCATTCGCTACAACTGTCGCCCATGAGCACTGTTGCACGTGACAACCGTCACCCTCAACTGTACATGACCCTCGTGACCTATGTCACCTGCAATTGAAACAATGTCTCTCGCGACCTCTTTCGCTAATTGTCGCTTGCAATTGACTCTCACTGTCACCCGCGACCAATGTCGTCCGCAACCACGTTGAAAAGGAGAGACAATGACAGTTTTTGACTCAATTTTCTCCGTGAATAAGTCATCGTTCAGCTCTTGAAATATGTCTAGAGTCACTATTTGTGTCGAGAGCTTTCCAACGATACCCAATTTGCACATACTGTCATGAAAAATATTTTCCACAAAATATTCCATCACCGTCACCATTGATCGCCCGTCAACCGTCACCGTCGGCCACCGTTTGTAACCATCACTCGTTGACTGTGTTGCCCTGCCAACGACGTTCAACCTCAATCACATTTGACCTTGTGAGCCTAAACTCCCCACCCTTCAGCGTTTGTAGTCCAGGTGGGGGTTCGAGCTCCCATAATCTAACTTCTCTGATCTCAACCATGTGGTCAAAGTGTGTTCAAGGCAATGAGATCATAAACACTTGCTCTTTCACAGACAAATTATCCAAAACTGACAATAATAACTTGCTGTCTGCTATTTCCACAAGAGCAGCAGACAAGCTCTTTGTTACATAAAGATCTAACCCAACTCTGGGTGACTTTCTCAATACCACAGCCGCTGTGGTCTATCCTAGCTTTGAGTTCCACTCCCAATTCCTACTCAGATTTCAGTGTCGATTTCTCAGCTTCCACCTTCAGACCCCACCAGATTCCACTCTCCCTTTTTAGTTTCAAATTCAAATCCCGACTTTCAGATTTCAGTCTTAGATTTCACTTCACTCTCAGCTCCCACTCACAGATCTTCCACTCGGATTTCAGCTCCCACTCACAAATTTTCGCACCTCAATCTCAGATCCCAATCTCAGATTTCACACTTCAATCTCAGATCCCACTCACAGATCTTCCACTCGGATTTCAGCTCCCACTCATAGATTTTCGCACCTCAATCTTAGATCCCAATCTCAGATTTCACACTTCAATCTCAGATCCCATTCACGGATTACACTTCAATCTCAGATCCTACTCACAGATTACACTTCAA